GCCGAGTGGTGTGATGTGCCCAGTGTGGGTACTCCGGGCACTCCAAGCCAGGACTGCTTTGCAAGCAGGGCACCCCTGAGAACTGTCTGTCTGGGGTGGGGATTGGGTCCCTTTAAGAACAGCCCTTGGCTAGCCTGAGACAGCATCTCCACACTCTAAGTCCTCCTCTGATGCCCTGCCGGCACTGCTTCCGGCCATCCTTAACCCCAGTTCAGGGTCCACTTAATGTGGACATGCTAGTTCGAATTAGCAAAACTAGTTTTTTAGTCTGGATCGGTTAGTTCGAATTAGCTTAGTTCGAATTAACTAAGTTAGTTCGAATTAACGTTGTAGTGTAGACATACCCTTTGTCAGTAGCAAAAGAGGAGCTAGAATCATGTTTAAAATACTGTAGTGTAGCTACATATTAATTGGCATTAGTACACTTAAGAGAGTAAAACCATGTGGAGTTAAGTGAAATTTAAACAAGTTTCTAAGTATTTTGCCCATAAGCCAACTAGAATGACTGACATTGATAAGACTTTGTTATGAGAGAGTCTGTAGTAGTATGATATTCCATTGCCAACTGAGCTATCTCTAAGCACTGAGGCAAAATGGCATGTAAGAGAAAAAGAAGGCGTGCCGATTGATCAAAGAATAAAATGAAATAGATAATTGAGAAAATTGAATTATCCCTTGGCAGCTTCTAACCATAACTAAATAATTATTACATGTATTGTAGATTTAGAAAATATAAAACAAATAAGATAATATTCCATTTTAAAAAGCATGTTGTAAAGGAAACCTTCTTGGTTTGTGTGACTAGTTTTAAAAAAATCTATTTTGACTGTTTGAAGCTGACCCAGCAAAATGAAAAAAAATAAAATATCCCCCATCATATTTCCAGTTGAAAGGGCATTCTTTACTAGTACTGTAGAGACTTTTTGTAAAATCAGCGAGCTATTTTCTTCATAGAATAATGATATGAAGGCAATCCAAGAAATGTAATAGAATCAAAATATCTTAAAAGTAAACCATCATAATATGCATTTCATGGCATTTTTTTTCAGTGTGTTAAACCTCCGGTTGGCAAATGCAATATTATTTAAACTTGAGCTGATAGAGCAAGACACAAGAGAAAAAGTTGTGGATTACTAAATATTAACTGAATCTGATCACTGTCACCTGAGTTTTAGCTATGCTATCAACACATTTTCTACCCCAGGTACCTAACAGAGTTTTAGTTTTCCCATTATTGGACAAATGAAAAGAACAGAACACCTGAGAGGCTATATAAAACCAGTTTGGAAAATACACAGTTAGGGTACGTCTAGGAAATTATTTTGTAATAACTAAATTGGAAATAATAACCCCCGAATTACAGGAAGCCCCCGAGTTGTGACTTCTGCAGTTGCAAACCCTTGCACTTACAACCATTATTTTAAGTGTGGAAGGGGCCAAATCCCCCGACTTCAGCCCACATTTATGATGGTATATGACACCTATCATAAATGAGGGTTCGACTTATGATGCCCCCGACTTGTGACACTTCCCCAGAAACTGATTACATTGGAAGCTGGGGGCTGCCTGTAACAAAATCAAAATAGCATGTCCCTACTATGGGGGAGCCTTAATCTTAATGGAGATATACCTATCTGCGAGGACTGGAAAAGACCTTGAAAAGTCATCAACTCCAGTCTCATGTCTTGACCAAGTATCATACCTGACAGATTTGCCCCAGATCTCTAAATTGCCATCTCAAGGATTGAACTCTCAACACTGGGTTTAGCAGGCTAATGCACAAACCACTGAGCTATCCCTCCCTCTTTGAAAGCAGGCTTTGTTATTGTGGATACACAACTTTAACTTCGAGCCCCAGCAAACACTGGAGAGTAATTACTTTGAATTACTCTCAGGAGTAGTTATTTTGAAATAGCAGCATTGGAATGTCCACACTAAAATTATTTCGAAATAACTATTTCAAAATAAGTGTTATTCCCCAAGGAGAGGAGAAGCCCAGATTTCAAAATAATCAGCTTGTTATTTTGAAATAATTGTCTTGGTAGTATGGATGCTCTGCTTATTATTTCATAATAAGGGGGGTTATTTCAAAATAACTCTGTAGGGTAGACCAGGACTTACTGCAAGGCTTCTAACTGTTTAAGTCAGACTGATTACTTTCCACAGACAAGACAGGAACAGAATACTAAACTCAGTAACCTTTCCCTGCTATATTTTGCCCATTGACAAATGTGTGTTTCATATTTTCAACACATCTCCTCTTGCTACAAGGAACTTAGTAGTGGTATCTTAGACAAAGTCAGATCCATCTAAATAGTACCCTGTTTTATACTTAGGAAGTTGCTTTTATTGGACTAAGGAAGGTATGCACTTTAGATCATTTTCACCAGCGATATCATTATCAACAGAAACCTTGCCATTTGAAGTAGGGTTCAGATAAAACCAAACTTTTCTAAAACCGTTTCTCGAGATTTAAATAAATGCTTAAACATTTGAAAATGAAGAACTGATGAAGAATTTTATAATTCCCCTATAGTTAAAAGTAGAGAAAAAAGCTGCACAGCAAAAATAATGGCTTGTTCAAGGGACATTGAAGAAGTACAGAAATACAGTTACCTAATGATTATGTTTACATTGCTTTATATGCCAATTCTGTGAAACTGAATAATCTTGTTGGAAATCCAAATAATCATTCTGAGTCTTCCTAGCTCTAGATTATTCATATTTACTGTGCAGTTTAAGTCCTTGAGAAAACCACAGAAAATATTGATGCTTCTACAGGATATTATTTTGTCTGAAACCTAGAATGAAGGCTAATATATAACATGGAATATATTAATGGAAACTTCTCCAGTTTTTTTTCAACTAGTACTATATAAAGTCTATAATTAAAAAAAATCACTTCCTATTACCTTTAGAAAATATGAATGTGTAGTTTATATTTTCAAGTGCTAAAAGTAATGTGTGTTTTTAAATTATTACTACTGTCTGGATATGTCTTTAAATTGCTGCTGCTGCTGTTGTGGTGGTGGTGGTATTTTTTTCAACTTCCTTATGCTTGTTGCTGTTGGTTGGCAGTTCCTGGCTTCAAAGAGGTCTCGGAAAGTTTGGAATCCAGGACTTCTTGTTGGGAGGAAAATATGTGAACATGGATACAGGATACTCTGCAACTTTAAAAACTATCAGCCAACTCTAATCAGTACTTTATTACATGACTCGCTATCCTGTGATGCAAAGGGAAAGCTTATATCAGCCTTTAGCAATTTCCTCCATCTTGTATCAATTTCACATTAGTCTGACATGCATGGATTTACTGCTACTTCACTTGGCTATCAGTGTAACACCAGACTTGCCATTTGTTTACTGTTCTTATAGGAATGATAATTATTATTTAAGCATCAACAATGTACAAGACACAGAAGGTACACTTCATGCTCTGTGTCACTATGGTCTACTTGAACTAGACTTTTGAGACAAACTTTACTGAAAAGCCTTCCAAAAGATTTTATTTTGGAGCTTTGTAAATTTCACTTGGTGATTGACAGCAGTTTTGCAGATTTGGGGTAATAGTTGTTGTCTTCATGGAAAAATTGAGTTTTGTGGATTGAATAGAGGACGGATGCCTAAGCTAAGGAAGGAGGAAGGACTAATTTTGTTTTACAGGTGTTTATTATACATGACATATTCCTTCAAGGTCTTATACACAATATGGAAATGAAAAAAACTAATAAATTCCTGTATAAGAGCATTCTAATGACAAAAGCCATGACACTCAGAGCCGCTTGTCATGTCCCATTGCCTAAAAGAACGATGAGAAAAAGTCAATTTAATTAAACAAATTAATGTATTATTTAAACAAATGACACTACAGTACAGAATGAAGATAGAAAATTACCATAAAATTACATTTATCATTAGCTAAAATGACAATTCAGAAAGATTTGACCTTTGTTATTTGCTCATTCAGTGCTAATGAATGCAAAATGGCTATACAGTCTTTATTTTTAAGTTACAATAGGACTTTAGGGATGATGACATTGTTTGAAAACTCCTGATAGACTCTGTTCATGAAATTATTGATATGCTGTCACACTCTTTACTTTTCTGCATCCCTTCCAGCTGAAGAATTGTTCATGTTTTTTCTCCAGTGTTTTTCTTCTTAAGTGGTATCATTCCCAGATTATCCTGTTCTCATAATCATTATGGGATCTATTAGCAAAAAAAAAAAAAAAAAAAAAGACCATACTGCATATTATCCTATGCTAGTGTGTAATCCTGCACCATTAGTCCTTACTCAGGGAAACGAGTTCCTTTGATTGAAATGGAAATTTTGTTGAATAAGTGCTGCAGGTTTGGGCCCTCTCTGAATGGCAAGCAAGGGGAATAATTATTTTTCTATGTAAATTATCTAAGAAGCTGTTTGCACTGATGAAAAATGTGTCACCCACCATATAGCAGTATCCATAAAACTAGTGAGCAAGGTTCCAGTCTTTGAAATCAATGTTATTGGGATCTGAAACCAGAATAACTGACTCATTGGGGGTCTAATTTTGTTGTTCCATCAAAGTTAATGGGCAATGAGGATTCTCAGCCTATCAGAAGATTGAACTCTCTTTATCTCCTATTGTATTCAAAGCAAACCATGATCAGCCACTTAAATCAGAGGGGTTATATCGATAAATGCAATGCAATGTAGTGTGTGGTTGATTATGAGCTGTATGGAATTCTGAAAGATGAACCAGGAATTCAGACTGGCTAATATATAAGACATTAATTTTCCAGTAAATATCAATACGGGCTAAATAGAAGGCATAAAAATGCATATTGCCTTTTTATTCCAGTTTTTGTAGCTAATAGCAATAATGCCTCTCAACTGCAAGCAGTTGGTCATTAATCCCAAGTAAATGCCTTACATCTCAGTCCTTACTGCTTCAATATTTCCTGTTTGGTACACCACTGAAATACAGTGAAACATACATTTTAGTGCTTTATGACACCCTTCTGAACTCATTGTCTGTTTTTAAAGTAGAATTCACACACCCCAGCCAAGCTTCCAATTATGCATTTTTCAGGGGTGGCTTCTGAAGGAGAAGGGACTAAATTGTGTGCACACAGTGTCAAGCTATTTGTCTTCCTGAGCACGAAATAAGTAGACTATTTCTCATAAACCTTGACCTTTCATCATTTACATCAGAGAACAATTTCTGTGGCATAAAATATCTTTCTTCTTGTTGTCTTTCTACTGCGGACAAAGCTTATTCAGTTAATCTAATGGGAGAAGGTCTATACCCCCCAATCTAGCCGTCTCTGCCAACTGTTATTGTACATCACACCTGTTTTTTTTACATTCCGTTGTAAAATGTTACTGCTGAAAACTCTCATTTATATATTTTTAGAGCCTCCCATAGGGCAGATGCACCCTCCACATGGCAGTGTAACACCTCAGAAAAACAGCAACCTTCTAGTCATCATTGTGGTCACCGTTGGGGTCATTACAGTGGTGGTGGTGGTGATTGTGGCTGTGATCTGCACCAGACGTTCTTCAGCGCAACAGAGAAAGTAAGTTGCTGGCAAATATTGGGGGTCTAAGTAGCCATACAAAAAGAGGCTACTTTTTATGCCTTTTTTGGTGAGATTTCAAAGATGATACAAGCAAGGTCAATAAATGAGCACTGAGAGGGCTTCCAGAGAACTTGGCAGCTTTGGGGTGGGGAAGAAGCCAGTATGTCTAGCTCCTAGCTTCAGGGAGAGCTCCCATAGGCTGAGTCAGGACAGGAGAGGAACTAGCATGATTTATTTACTACTCAGTAGGCGGCTATTGAGAGGCCACATGATGCATTCCTCTCTGCCACTGCTGCCCTGTGCTCTTCTGTTTGTGCTTCTTGTGTGGCTGGCCCAGAGCTGTGGCACATGCCCTGTGATGAACTGTGGTCTGTCTGTCACCCCATCGCCAGCCCCTAGGAATTTGAGGTATGTGTATGTATCCCTGTCTCCAAGTGCTGGGAATAGGGCTACACATCCACTGTCCTCACTGCATCCTTCACCATCCCAATTCTCCCCCTAGCACCACCATCCACCTGTTATTGCATCCTCCCACAACCAAACCCGTCTGTACTCCCATCACCCTCAGTATCCTGTCCCATCCTCCTGCCCCCTCACTAAATTTCTCCCTGTCCCATACTTATTTCCCCTCACACCTGCTCTCCACATCCACCCATCCCAGCCTTGTACCCCTTATGTTAGAGTTGCCATGCCCACGTCCCTCACTCCCACAGCCCTGCATCCAACTTACCTCCATACAGCGATGAACATCATTATGTCCCTTTTCACCACTGTGCCCCCCACAACCTCATGCATTTGTTGCCTTCAGCCTCCCCCTGCATCTGTATACCTCCCACATAGCACAAAGAAGGTAAAATCCCCATCCTCTCTCCTTCCTTCAGGCAAGAAAAGTTAGATGCCTGCAAGTCACCAGGGCCTGATGAAATGCATCCTAGAATACTCAAGGAGCTGATAGAGGAGGTATCTGAGCCTCTAGCTATCATCTTTGGAAAATCATAGGAGACAGGAGAGATTCCAGAGGACTGGAAAAGGGCAAATATAATGCCCATCTATAAAAAGAGAAACAAGAATAACCCAGAAAACTACAGACCAGTTAGTTTAACTTTTGTGTCAGGGAAGATAATGGAGCAAGTAATTAAGGAAATCATCTGTAAACACTTGGAAGGTGGCAAAGTGATAGGGAACAGCCAGCATGGATTTGTAAAGAACAAATCATGTCAAACCAATCTGATAGCTTTCTTTGATAGGATAATGAGTCTTGTGGATAATGAGTCTTTCCTGCTGGAAAGTTAAAACAAGTCAGGTTCCTCAGGGGTCTGTTTTGGGACCGGCTCTCTTAAATATCTTCATCAACGATTTAGATATTGGCATAGAAAGAACGCTTATTAAGTTTACAGATGATACCAAGCTGGGAGGAGTTGCGACTGCTCTGGAGGATAGGGTCATAATTCAAAATGATCTGGACAAATTGGAGAAATGGTCTGAGGTAAATAGGATGAAGTTTAATGAAGACAAATGCACAGTGCTCCACTTAGGAAGGAACAATCAGTTTCACACATACAGAATGGGAAGCGACTGTCTAGGAAGGAGTACGGCAGAAAGGGATCTAGGGGTTATAGTGGATCACAAGCTGAATATGAGTCAGCAGTGTGATGCTGTTGCAAAAAAAGCAAACATGATTCTGGGATGCATTAACAGGTGTGTTGTGAGCAAGACACAAGAAGTCATTCTTCAGCTCTACTCTGTGCTGGTTAGGCCTAGTTGGAGTATTGTGACCAGTTCTGGGCACTGCGTTTCAAAAAAGATGTGGAGAAATTGGAAAAGGTCCAGAGAAGAGCAACAAAAATGATTAAAGGTCTAGAGAACATGACCTATGAAGGAAGGCTGAAAGAACTGGGTTTGTTTAGGTTAGAAAAGAGAAAATTGAGGGGGACATGATAGCCGTTTTCAGGTATCTAAAAGGGTTTCATAAGGAGGAGGGAGAAAACTTGTTCATCTTGGCCTCTGAGGATAGAACAAGAAGCAATGGGTTTAAACTGCAGCAAGGGAGGTTTAGGTTGGACATTAGGAAAAAGTTCCTAACTGTCAGGGTAGTCAAACGGTGGAATACATTGCCCAGGATGGTTGTAGAATCCCCATCTCTGGAGATATTTAAGAGTAGGTTAGATAAATGTCTATCAGGGATGGTCTAGACAGTATATGGTCCTGCCATGAGGGCAAGGGACTGGACTCGATGACCCCTCGAGGTCCCTTCCAGTCCTAGTATTCAATGATTCTATGATCTTTTCCCCTCTAGCGCACAGTCCTCCCTACCCATCTGGGTGTATGAAAAAGTGTGTCTGTTAAGGCAACTGAGTTCATGCACGCACTGTATGTGTGAAAGCGATTGTGTGTAGGGAGGTGTGTGAATTGCCACGTGTGTGTATACTCATGTGAATAAAATTTTCAGCCTGACTTTGACTTTCATTCCTTTTGCTGGCTTGCACACACAAAAAAACTGATGGTATAAAATAAGTGTGTATTCATTAGATAAGTTTTTAAAAGGGAATGCAAGTCTAAAAATGTATCATTTCTGAAAAACTGAATATTGTTGATTCGTAATTGCAGAAGAGCTAATGTATCATACATTTCTTTCCACCTTTGTCTAGCAACATTATAAACTTTGTTGAAAACTCTCTCTTTTTATGCACATGTTCAGCCCTGACTGCCCTGGGCCCCGATCTTAGGGTTAGGAATCTTTAGGCACTTGTCATAATGTGGAAGTGTATGAATGGTGTATGCTAAATGTGTACACATGACTGCACATGTGTATCTGCCTATAGATGTGGGGGTTTCTACAGATGTGTATATATACAGACATCTGGAAATGTGCATGTCTGTGGTGGTGCTCTATGGGCTTCAGGTGCAGGGATACACTCTAGCTGTGATAACGTATGGACCTAATTCCACACACAAAATCACAATAACTATTTTGTTGCCAGCGGTAGAATCCTGTAACAAATAAAACCTGAACTTAGCATAATACATCTGTCAAAACGATAAATATGCTTGTTTGGGCCTTGCAGTGAAAATGAGCACGTGAGAGAGGGTGGAGGAGAGCAAATAACAGATGGAAGTGGAGTTGGAGTGAATGGGAGACGGACATCAGGGAACGGGTGTGGGCAGTGTACAAGGCAATGCTGTTCAGCTTTTTGGACCTAGAAAGCTGGTGAGCATAGATAAAGGGACAGTAGAGGGTATACCAGAGGCAACATTTTTTGCTCAACCCCCATTCGGCCCATGTCTCACCATCACTCCACCCGTTCCCCAAACTCTCACCCTACCTTTTCCTGCACTGTCTTGCCTTCACCCTGCCCCTCCCCCAATCTACCTGAATCCCATCCTTAATCCTTCCCCTTCCATCCAGTGCCTCCTGCATGCCACTGAACAGCTAATTGTGGTGGGCATGAGGCACGGGGAGGGAAGTGGGGGAACTAATCGGGAGACTGCTGGTGGAGGCTAAGCACACATTGTTTTTTCTATGGGTGCTTCAGCCCTGGGGCACCCACAGAGTGGGGTGCACACTTCTTGTTTATTTTATTAAAAATCAGGAGAATTAAGGGTGACATCAGACTAAGGTATAAGAAGAATAACCTAATTTGCCACAGAGCTGGATTTTACCAGTTAAATTATTTAGTTAATTGAGTTACTACAGTGAAACAAAGAAATTTTTATATAAAATGTAATAATGTTTTGTTTATGAGGATGAGAAATGGTTGGCTTAGGTGCTAGTCAAAAGTCTATTGTATTGTTCTTTTGAGTCTTGAAAAAGAGTGCAGAGTAACAAACGCATGATCATGTAACTAAACTGTTTCCCTGTCTGCTGAAATTAGCTTTGACCTTGTCAAATTGAGAGGTGAGAGAGTTTAAAATATCATATAGTCACTAGCAGCCACATTCTCAGAAGAGTTTAGTACCTACACTCAAGCCTAGATTTTCAAAAAATTCATTCCCTATTTAGGCACCAAAAAAAAGTGACCAGGTTTTTAGAAAGGCTCAATATATTGAATGGCCCTGAAGCCCATGGAAAACAATGAGAGTCTTTCTGTTGACTGCAGTGGGCTTTGATCAAAGCCTAAAGTTGTAATTGGATTGCTACTGTGCAGAAGAGATTGTAGGATGTAGAGACTAAGGACATGTCTATACAGTAGCATTATTTCGGATAACAAAGAGCATGTCTACACATGTAGAACAGTGATAGAAATGTAGCTGTGTTAGTCTGGTGTAGCTGAAACAAAAAGGTATATATGGTTGAGACAATTTTCTTCCACTATTTGATCTGAGGAAGTGGGTCTGGCCCACAAAAGCTCATCATCTATTAAATCATCTTGTTAGTCTTTAAAGTGCTACATAGTCCTGCTTTTTGTTTCATGTCTACACAGAAAGCAATTATTCCAAAATAATGTTGAGCTGGAGGACTTCTTACTCTGACTCCTGTAACCCTCACTTTATGAGGCATAAGGGAAGTTGAAGGAAGACTGTTCTTTCTTCGACTTCCTGCTGTGTAGACAGCGCCAAACACCAGATTACGCTATTTTGACTTCAACTATGAAATTCACATAGCTGAAGTTGCATAAATTAAATTTGACTTTTGCCCTGCTGTGTAGACGTACCCCAAGTTAACCAAAACTAAACTATTTATTCTGAAATTATGGTAAAATGGAGAAAGTCATTACATAAAACTAATTAAACAGATGAGTAATGTTGGGCTCAAGCTCCAGAATTCAAAAGTCGGAAGCCAAACCTCCTCCCATGTGATGGTTTTGGAGCTGCATGTTTAATCCACTATGAAGAGATTCTTAAACTAATACAAAGGCTTTTGGATCCAGTTTACAATGTGGACTTGTCTCTCATTTTAAAATCACCAGTAAGTCTCAAAACCTGTGAAAGAAAAGGTTGATTCATGGAAAGCCTGAATAAGAGGGAAACTTCCCTAGTAGCGAAAGCTTTTATACTAC